TGTGATGGAAGAAGAGAGAAATCATCAAAGGTTAATGAGTTTTGCTCAATTTGATTTTTAGATTTTTCTTTGGGTCATCCACGACTAGTAGGATGCATTAACCGTTTGTGATACATCAAGTATATAAGTGTCGGAAAGTATTTGTTACACTTGGAACAACTAAGGCGTGAATAAGTTGTTTCATCGAGGGATGGACAATGTGAATCATAGTTAGGAATTTTTAAGAGATCATAGTACTCAAGAAGATGAATAGGATTGATGAAATGTCTATCTTTAGCTTTGGTGATCGGAGCTAAAAAACTGTTATTTAGCTGCAAAAAATCCATAGCATCTTTTGTGTGAGGTGGTCCACAACAACTTGTATTCGTATACTGCTTTATGTCAAGGGAATATTGGCATAAGTTACAATGATTTTCAATCTATGACTATAGTATAAGGCACTCGGTTAAGTCATCTTTTTTTTGTTTTTTTTTTGATCTTTTTTTTGTTTTTCTCTATTTTGTCACTCAAGTTCTTCTGCTTTTTCTTTGTTAGTACCCTCAAACTGCAAATTCTCAAAAGAGTTTGTAAATTCTTCAACATACTGTGCATTTACATGCTTTCCAAAAATCAAATCATGACTCCAAATATTGCAGAGAGCTTCTCCAGCATATTTAAAATTTTTAAGGGCCAACTCTGGGTTAATTACTTTACCCTGAGAATTTAGATGCATTCCAAAGTAATCAATTGGTAATACAACGCCTGCCAATTTACCAGAAAGCGTCGTCATTCCTCTCTCAACAGGATTATATTTGGATTGTCCTGAGGTATTTGTTCTTATAGTCAAATAATCCAAATTGAACTTTCAAAAAAGCAAACAATATGACTTAATGTTTTTTAGATATCTTGGGTTCTTGTCCGGTCCCCCGTCTACTAATAATACCCAGATTGGTTGAATTTCTCTATTAGTTTTTAACACAGCATCATATTGGGAATTTAAAGTAAGACTTTCAAGATCATGAATATGCGTAAGTAAAGATGTACCGAGAGACTATTGGCGGCATACAAAAATGGCAAGCTGTCCTGTTCGTAGCTCATCATTTAATTTATTTGGGTTAATTATAAGGTATACTGATAGAACTAGTTTTTGTTCAAACCCTATAGAGAAATCATAATCTGGTACACAAATAGGATCATTGATTGATTGCAATCTGTGAAATGTTCGATCTATAGCGGGCACGCTGAGACCTATCTTCACTTTATCATCTTGAGAGATGATTATTGATATATTAGCAAAAACGAACGCAAATTGTTTTGCACATTTGATGGACGCAAAACAATAGTGACTATCATGTGTCTCAGTATGTGAAACACTAGCAACCGAGACCCACGCTGAATGATGGTATGCCTTCGCGGCAATGGAATTGGACTGGCAAGGTAATAAGTAATTATTTAATGTTGTTTGTGCCATGTAGACGCCATAATTCTCTT